AGGGCGGACGGAGGGGCGGACGGAGGGGCGGACGGGGGAGCGGACGGAGGCGACGAGGGCGGACGAGGGGCGACAAGAGGCGGACGGAGGGCGGACGGAGCGGGCGGACGGAGGGGCGACGGAGGGGCGACGTAGGGGCGGACGGAGGGCGGACGGAGGGGGCGAACGGAGGCGCGAACGGATAACAGACGGAGGGACGGACGGACGGACGGACGGGACGGACGGAGGACGACGGAGGGACGGACGGAGACGGACGAGAGACGGACGGAGGACGGCGGACGAGACGGAACGCGGAGGACGACGCGACGACGGACGGAGGACGGACGGGCGGAGGACGGACGACGAGGACGGACGGACGGAGACGACGAGGACGTAGGCGACGAGGACGGACGGACGGAGGAGCGGACGAACGGAGAGACGGACGGACGGAACGACGGACGGAGGACGGTTGTTAGCCGGAGGCGAAAGCCAAGCGAACGGTTAAAACCGACGCTCGAGGCACCACGACGGATCGCGACGACAACTGGGAACACGGAAAACGCGAGTCCCAAATACTGGCCCCCCGTTGGACGCAGGGGAACGGACGGGAGGACGGAACGTGGGCAGGGACGTGGCGGAAAAAGCCCAGCGATTAAGAGCCGCGTCTAGCACGGCCCAACGGTTGCGAATGGCGCGCACTGTGCTAGAAGGACGAAACGACAGGTACTATACAGAACGGTTCATGGGTACACGGCGTACGGTAACGCGGAATAGGGGGGCGAAAGGACGACGCGCCGACAGGCGATAAAAGGCACCTGGCGTGACAGACCGGTTCAAACCGGGTGCCGAACACGGGCAACGCGAACGCTACTTAAAATTCTTCCTTCTCTCTGCTGTACGCTATCTCTCTCTTTGGAGGGACGGACGGACGGAGGGACGGACGGAGGGACGGACGGACGGAGGGACGGACGGAGGGACGGACAGCAATTATTTTCAATTGTTTGCTTCCTACATTTTTCATTAGTAAGTTCGTGATCTCTCCATACCTTATTCTGCAGTGTCCAGTGTGTATAAGTACTGCTAGTCTTTAAGTAATGCTGTTTGACACCCTTCAATGCCTCTTACACTGTAAAAAGACCTAGTCCTTTTACTCGCCTCATAACATACGAGAACCTTTCTTAAGCTGGTCAACGCAAACGGCTAATGTAACTGACAGTATTTCCGTGGGGAACGACGGGTATCGCGAGACTGTCGTGCTGTGTCAGTCACGCGCTTCCTGTCGCCTATAGAGGGACGGACGGAGGGACGGACGGAGGGACGGACGGAGGGACGGACGGAGGGAC